CTGGAATTGCCTCATCAAGACATGAGATAGACACACACATACATTGTGTGTATATTGTAAATGAAAGTGGGGAGGCAACAGAAAAAAATGGAAAACAGGTGCATGAACTAATGTTATTATGTAAGTTTTCAACCCCATTAAAACTTCCATAAGCAAAAATTCAGCAGTCCTTACTCTAGCCCCACAGCTCCTGACAGCTATATTTGGCATACCTTTTTCCCCTCACCCGCTTTTAGATAATTTTTCTTGAGCTTGTCACATACTTTGTTCCATAAAGTTCTTTATTAACATTGATTTGAAGAAACCATCTGATCTTTGAATGAGTCAAAAGGAACAATTGCACGCGTTTTCATAATCACCGTGAAATGCTGCAGATATGTATATACATAGGAGATAATAACAGCAATTAGTAGTTAGAATTCCTCCTGTTTCTGATCCCATTGTTTGTTTTTTTCCTTTTGAGAGAACAAGTGCTTATTATTCATGGAAATGTTGTTCTGTTTCAGCTAAAACTCTCTTTTCTCCTGCAACTCAGTATATTTAGCCAATGTGACCAATGGGAATTCACCAGTGTGTTTAAATTTGGGGTATTGTTGGTAGCCTTTGCTAAAAATATAGCTATTCTGGAGGGAGATGAATTGCCGGTTTGACAATTTGAGGTTGAAGCAGAGGGATATGATGCACACAGAAGAAGAGCAGGCGCATTAGAGTACATAATGCGCCAGTGCCTGGAGAAAGTGTGACAATGCGCTTTCAGATACAATTGTATTCACAGCCCATCTTCTCCAAAGTGTCAGCCCTCTTAACAAAACAATGCAGAAATAGAACACTGCAAATAAGACCTTAGCTAATACATTATGATGTCACAGGTTTTTAACATGTCAAAGCTGGTCCATAGTAAGCCAGGAGCCTAAAAGCAAGTCAGGGCTGAATGGAAAATCAGGAAGCAGAAACAAATCAGAACCAAGAGTAAGGCCAAGTCCAGCAGCTTCATAGGGCTAGTTGGAACCCTGCTGGCCCCTCATCTCATCTGTCCCCTATTGTGCTGATAAATGTAATGCCACCTTTTGACCTGTTAGCAGCTTCCTCCTCCAGCATGGGCTGACAAGGAAAGAAGAACATGAGAACATTTCAACATTGCCTTCTCTGAGTCAAACCATTGATATATCTAGCTCAGTATTGTTTACACCAGGCATGGCCAAACTTGGCCCTCCAGCTGTTTTGGGACTACAGTTCCCATCATCCCTCACCACTGGTCCTGTTAGCTAGGATGATGGGAGTTGTAGTCCCAAAACAGCTGGAGGGCCACGTTTGGCCATGCCTGGTTTACACTGACTGGCTGTCGCTCTCCAGGATTTCAGACAAGGTCCATCCATACCAGGAGATACTAGAAATTGAACCTGAGACCTTCTATGTGTCACACAGATTCTCTACCATGGAGCTACAGCCCTTCTCAAAAAGTACATTTGTTGTTGTTTTTTTAAATGATATTTATTGAAAACTCAAAAAGTACATTTGAATCTGGAGTCTCTAGTTTGAGATCCCTAGCAAGAAATAGGGGGCAAGCAGCAGAAGATATTGCTGATTATTGGAAAGTGAGCTTCCCACACTGACTGTGGTAAATGGGTCATGGCAATAGTTTGCCAGTACTCTCTCCCTAAGGAGCAGCCATTGAACATGTCCATCTCTCCGGTCTCTCTTTTTCCTGTCCACCCACCTTGATACTTTCCGAAGCATAGACTTCACAAATAATCTCTTGATGACAGACCTTGACAAGACTGATTCTTGCGACTCCATGCTCACTTCTCTTTGACACAGCAGCATTAATAACAGATCTCATTGTGCGTCTTGACATTCTTATTTTTTAAAAAGGCACAATCGTTCCGATAAAGGGCATCTGCTTAATTACAGGTTTCCTTAATTACAGCTCTGTGGAAGCTCATCTGCTTGGGCAAATCCACATTGTAGCGCTGAGTCGTTTTGGCATATATTTCCCCCACTTTTCCTCTGCTGTGGGTTTCTCCACACGTGGTGTCTTTCAAAGCCTTTCTCCTTCCTTGAAGGAGCTGAGGACACTCTCCAGTTAATCCTCACAACAATCCTGTGCAAAATCTCCCCATGAGCCCCATAGCAGATGGGCTCTGAACCTGAATCTAGATTTTTATAAATATTTGGGTGCTTCCTGTCTTCTCCAAAGCTTCTCAATTTAAAGAGGAGGTTTGGGGAGCAAGGGTTGGGCTAGGATGTGGGAGACAAGACTTCAAATCCTCATTCCTCCATGAAGCTCACTGGGTAACCTAGTCTCTGCCACTCATCCTAACCTACCTCACATGGTTGTTGTGGGCATTAAATATGGGGTGTGGGGGGGGGACTCATGCACCACCCTGAGCTCTTAGGAGAGTAAGGTGGGCTGTAAAGGTAAAGGGATCCCTGTCCATTAGGTCCAGTCATGACCGACTCTGGGATTGCGGCACTCATCTTGCTTTATTGGCCGAGGGAGCCGGCGTACACCTTCCAGGTCATGTGGCCAGCATGACTAAGCCGCTTCTGGTGAACCAGAGAAGCACACGGAAACACCATTTACCTTCCCGCCAGAGTGGTACCTATTTATCTACTTGCACTTTGATGTGCTTTTGAACTGCTAGGCTGGCGGGAGCAGGGACTGAGCAACGGGAGCTCACCCCGCCACGGGGATTCGAACTGCCGACCTTCTGATTGGCAAGCCCTAGGCTCTGTGGATTAACCCACAGCGCCACCCGCGTCAAGGTGGGCTGTAAATGCAATTAAATAAACAAACATAGGAAGCAGCCTTCTGTTGTGCCAGGCCATTGTTCTGTGCTCAGTATTGTCTACACACTGACTGATAGTTGTTCTCTATGTCCTAGCTCCAGTCTGAAGAAGCACTTGAGCTCATATTATGGTTTCTGCCTGAAAATTTAATGAACAATTCAGTATAGTATATCAACAAAGCAAAAATAAGAGAGAGGCATGGCAGGTGCAAGGCAGTGACAGTGAGTAACCAGAACTTAAGAATGACAGGAACACACCAGAATTCAGAAGGCCTCTTGCTCAAGCAAGTCCCTGCTTAAACGGGAAGTCCTATGTACTCCCTTCCTGCTTAGGAGGATCCAGTGACCAGCTCAGGTGGGTGGCTGCAATCCAGCTCATGAAATGTACCTCCACTGAGAAGCTGCCATTCAGTAGTTCACCACATGAGGGAGCTGCACACAGATCCAGTAGCTTCTGCTGTTTATAGCTCCTTGCTGTTCCTTATGAATTGTAGAAGTGGGTTGAAAGAAGTCCTGGGGTTTAATCGGAAGACGCATGAAACAGCCACCTTCCGAAGTTAATGGGTTCAGTACAAGGATGGGAAATGGAGCAGAAACCCTTTTGTACTCTGCTATGTATTCCACATGCATAAAATAAATGTGATTTTTTTTTAAAAGTCCTCATGAAAGTTCATCAGCATTTTAACATGAATTTCTCATAATGTGTATGCTTTTTTCACACAGTCTTCCAAAACTTTTATCTAAAGCACTGCATTTTTGTATGTGATTTTCACCAATCTATCAGTTTTTATGCACCCTTTTCCTGATTGTGTGCATTCTTTGGCAGGGGAAGTGTGAATTTCGAAGGATAGCTGTGTTTCCCTTGATGCATGGCTTGAGACAGCGCAAATTAGGGAGGCAAACTGAATTGAATTTCTCCCTTATCTCTAATCCAAGCCCAGGCAAAATGAGGCTGAGAGATGGGGAGGGAGAGATGTTTCCCCAAATCCCAAAGTGTCATCATTTGGAGGGCATGTCAAAAAAATTATGTAGACAAGACCAGCTTGAGTGTAATGGTTGTGCTGTGAGTATGGGCTGCATTCTGACATGGTGGTGGTGATTTATTAAAATTGTATACCGCCCTATACCCCTAGATCTCAAGGCGTTAGTTTTTCTGATTGTAATGCAAGTTCTTCTGTCCTGTTTTTTAATGTTTCTTTCACCCTACAGCACCTGCTGTGCTACGGAATTGTGGCTTTTTGACCAAAATATAATAATAATAATAATAATAATAATAATAATAATAATAATTATTATTATTATTATTTTATTTTATTTATATCCCGCCCTCCCCAGCTGAAGCTGGGCTCATAGCGGCTAACAACAATAAAAGTAACACAACATTCTAAAATCAATTCATTTTAAAATCAATTCAAAATCAAATTAATGGCAACCATTGGGCTAGAGTTCTGTGAGGATTACCAAAGGAGGGGGTCAGACTGTGCCTTGGCCAAAGGCCTGGTGGAACAGCTCTGTCTTGCAGGCCCTGCAGAAAGATGTCAAGTCCCGCAGGGCCCTAGTCTCTTGTGACAGAGCGTTCCACCAGATCGGGGCCACAGCTGAAAAAGCCCTGGCTCTGGTTGAGGCCAGCCTAACCTCCCTGTGGCCCGGGACCTCCAAGATGTTTTTATCTGAAGACTGTAAGGTCCTCCGTGGGACATACCAGGGGAGGCAGTCCCGTAGGTACGAGGGTCCTAGGCCGTATATCAGCATTTCACGCTAAATTTCACTCCCACCAGCGGGTGTGGTGTGGAGTGTAATTGAACAATGTCACTACTTCCCCACCCCTTTCCACACAAACGTGCTTCTGTTACCCCATGATCCCTCCATGAAAATAGCAGGAAATAGCTGAATGCTAGTATATCACCTCCACACACAGTTTTTTCATTGTACTCCCCCAATTTTGCAGGTTAAGGGGGCTGCAAACAGATTTGTTTTCTGGAATCAAATAACACAGTATACTCTCATTAGTTTTCTGGACCTGGCTTTTACGTCGTGTGAAAGCTGAAATGTAATGTGGAAATTAACAGGGGAATGTCAGGGAGATGCAACAGACTGACACGTGAGTACAGTGTGAGAGAGACGTAGATTTTGGGGACTTGGCTGAAAAATAGTGCTGTGAATCACATCAGCATTGAGTGATGGCTAATGCTGCTTTCTTTGTGCTTGTAGCGATGGAAGGAGTGCCTTTTATGATCTCGGAGAAGTTCGCTTGCGCTTCCGAAGGGGTAAGTTCTTTTATCCATGTACATAAGTGTATATTTTCTCATCGCTCTGGACATCCTTCCTTCTCTCTGCTCCTTCTCTATTTATTTGCAGCATTGGTACTCAGGCCTCTGGCCAAAGGAAGGCTCTCGGTGTGGCTTATAAAAATCAGTTCAGAGACAGTCCCTGACCTCAGGTTCAAAAGACATGGCATGTGAAGAAAAAGGAGGAAGAAGCAGAAGGAAAAAAGCAAGCTCAAACACAAGTTACAGTTGATGGCAGTCCTGGCTATCTTGCCATTGATATAAAGAGCAACCTTCCTCCTGAACCACTTTTAACATGCACCCATTCCAAGAGCAGAACTGGTGACAACATCCAGAACAGGAAAATAGGACAGCTCCTAGCACACAAGAAATACACATACAGAGGAACAGTATTAGTTTTCCTTGCCTGGATGGCTCAGATGTAGTGATGGCCAGAAGTTAGGTCTGTATCTATTGATAGATTTATTGGGGAATGACCATGTTCATTCATTTCAATGGGTCTACTCCAAGTAGAATTTAGTTGGGCACAACCCCAAGTGAATCAAATGACCTCCTTCCCCTGCGCCTGTGCTGTCCCCAGCCAAATGAAACCCAACCTTGCACCCGCCGCCCCGACTCCCTATTTCTGGGAGCTGCTTAGACCTTGAAAAATGTGAGCTATTCCGCACATGGAGCGCAAAGTAACTTGAGCTGACCCAACTCCTCTTGGTTGCCGTGGCGACGTTGGCTGGCTCCCAGCTGCCGCAGAGAAGGACAGCCTCGCTGGTCCTGTTTACCAATTCCTCTCTCAGAAGTTGAGAGGTCATTACGTCCTAATGAGGCAGCAGATGGACCTCGGCTGGAGTCCGGGCAGCAGCAACGCAGCCTTAAGAATAACCTCGTCCATCTTCCCTGCTTCTTCTTCCCCCTCTGCCTGGAGAACACAGTCAGTGCCCAAATGTCTGTTCATACCGTAAAAGCTCCTCTTGGGCAGTTAGCGTATTAGGTCAGGAATGGGATTTTATTTTTTTCCAGACCAAGAGCTGCACTCCCTTCTGGGCAATGTCCCAGGATCCACATGACAGTAGCGGGCAGGGTGAAAGGCAATAGCAGGCAGAACAACAAATGTAGGTTTTACCTTTGTACAGTAGGCTCCATAAACTTAACACACCCTGCGCTGTCCTCCATCCTGCCAAGCAAGAGGCAGCATCAGAGTTCAAGGACACATTCCAGCCAGGCAAAATCACTCAAGGAGGGTGCAAAGCAGGGCCAATGAGGGGTGTGCCTGAGGAGAAGGGGTGTGGCCTCATGAGAATTCCAAGGGCCAGATAGAGAGGCCTGGAGGACAGCATTTGGCCCCTGGGCCCAAGTTTATGCTCCCATGCTTTGGATGGCAATGTGTATTACTTGACAGACTGAGATGTGTTTAGCCAGCATTGCTGCCTAGCACACTCAGCACACCTTATTCTTATTGCTGAGTTGGGCCCTGAAGTCCAACTTGACAGCACCACTCTAGCCCATACATGTCCAATTTGCAAAGCAAAGAAGCTGGCCTGAGGCCACCCCTTTCACTGCCCCAAGAATGGCAAGTGGGGCTGGGGTAGTGGAGTGCCCTTCTCCTCCCCATCACATGGGCCATTGCAACAGGCAAATCCAAATCTAGTTCTTCCTCCCCTCCCTCCCCCCCCCCACAAAAAACCTCCCTGCCTGTTACTCAATTCAAAGGAGCCACTTTTCATTTATTTATTTTATTGCACTTCTATCTTGGCAACTTTCTAAAAAAATTCAGGCAGAATACATGTTTCCTCTCCCAACCTGCACACAAACACACATCACATAGTATTTCCCCAACAACCCTATACGGTAGGTTAAGCTGCAGAGTGCTGATTAGCTAAGAATCACCCAATAAGCTTCCTGGCTGAGGATTTGGACCTGGGTGTCTCCCCAACCCTATCACACAGCTGAGACACTTAAAACCGCTAAGCCACACAGTCTTTTCAAATCAAGACCCTGGGTAATCCAGCCCAACTGAGAGCTCCAGTTCTCATTTCTGCAGCACGAACATCAGGGACTGCTCTCTGTCACAATTATACCTTGGTTCTTATTTGACACACAGAAGAGTGAAGCCTTGCAGCTGTCCCCTGGGAGCCTCCCCCTTTTCCCTCAGCCTCACGCCCTGAGGAAACCTCTCTGGCCTGCCTCTCACACAGGTTCCTTTATGCTCTGTCCAGCACCCTCTTCTGTACATCCTTATCCATCCCAAATACAAAGACCAAAACATACATGTAAATAGAATTAACATTGAGCTATCTAGAATTAAAAATCATAGAAAAAGCAAGATAAGAAGGAAAGGGAAAGGAAAAAGAGTGTCTCGCAATTCTCCGTCTGTCAATTACTCAAAATAATTATTCAGTTATTCAAAATATTTAGGGCATACATTCCAGAATAATTTCTAAAAAAATTTCCAAATTTTTAAAATTGATTTTCCACATTTATCTCAAAATGACACAACAAAACACACAACAAAGAAAAACACACCACAATACATCAAAATTAAACACAGAGAAAAGTTATTTCTTCAAATACCTAATTGATAACTGACTTCCATGAATCCCCTCTAACTGAATTTCATTATATCTAACCTTTATAGCAGTTCTCCAAGTTCATACATTCCAGAATAATTTCTAGCTGTGCTAGCATCCAGCTTTTTTCCATTCTGCTAGATGGTATTTTCTGAGTCTTCCCTCCCAGGCATCTCAGATTCAAAACTTTTCTTAAAGGCCACACATGTGAGACATAATTGTCTTTCTTACTTTAGCAATTAGAAAAAAACTGCACAATTTTTGGGATGGGAGAGAATGCCAGCATTTGAAGAATCAGAGAGGCCACTTGTTCATCCATTGAGCCAACCACATTGATATAATTGGTATGGGGCTGCTCTCAGTACTTTTTAATGGAGTGCAGAGGAGCAGTGACCTCCATTGTGATAATCAGATATCTGCTTTGGCAGATAAGTATACTGATAACTGAGACAAGCTAAGTTCTACACAGCTCTCATTGAGGGTGAAGTGGAAAGAAGTTCCAACCCAGTGGTTTCTCTTCTGGACACTGATAGTGTCCTGATTTTAAGCTTAATTTTAAATGGATTGTCAACTTGTTTTTTTCAGGGGAGATACCTACGATGTATTGGGATCCTGTGACCCACTGGACTTTTTGTGAGCCTCTTAACTAATCCCTGCACTTGCTAGGAAGCTGGAACATGCCATTTGCTGGAATTATCATTTTTATAAACTGATTGTTCTTGTTCTTGTTATTGTTATTGTTATTTTGCATTTCCTTATAGATGCAGCCAGTCGATCTCCTGGGCATCACTATTAAATCCTTGGCAGAAATCGAGAAGGAGGTAAGTCCCTTCTGGAATCTTGTCTTTCCTTGATTTCTTTTCAGAGCCTGGATATGATTTATTCGCTTTACAAGGCTGTGGGTGAAATTCTGCACCACCATAACCCAAATTCTGCAGCATTCTGCAGCGTCTGTATTTTGATGCAAATATGCATAACTTTCCCCACTTTACACAATTTATTTTGTGCATATAGATAGAGCTTCAGACCAGCACTTAACACAAGCTTGCTGTGGTTCCCTGTTGGGATTCAGTTAATCACTAAAATAATATATACAACACGGTGATTAACAAACAGATTTTATTTCTGCTGCAAAACATTTTGGCTTTCGCCTTTGTCAGCTGCTCTGGTGGGGATATATTTATATTTTGAGACTGGGAGAACCCATACAGGGTGGGGTGAAATCTTGGCTTTAAAATTTGCAGAAATCTAACTCAGCCTCTCCTCCAGTTTCTGAGGTTGTTATTACTATTACTATTACTATTATTTAGAGGCAAAACTGGGTGAGGCAATAAGTGTTACTCTTGCATTTATAAGAGGGGTTCTGCATTCACCTTTCTCCATCCAGGGAAGCAGGAGGCAGTATCACAGTTCAAAGACACATTCCAGCCAGACTAGCACACTCAAGAAGATTGCAGTGCAGAGCTATTGAGGGGCATGGCCTGGGAATACTGTATTTTTTGCTCTATAAGACTCACTTTTTCCCTCCTAAAAACTATGGGGAAATGTGCGTCTAATGGAGCGAATGCAGGCTGCGCAGCTATCCCAGAAGTCAGAACAGCAAGAGGGATTGCTGCTTTCACTGCACAGCGATCCCTCTTGCTGTTCTGGCTTCTGAGATTCAGAATATATTTTTTCTTGTTTTCCTCCTCCAAAAACTGGGTGTGTCTTGTGGTCTGGTGCATCTTATAGAGAGAAAAATATGGTAGTTCTGAGGACCAGATAATGAGGCCTAGAGGGCCACAGTTGTTCCCCATCACCCAGGCATGTGGGGGGTAGGTATGGAGAAAGGGGATGGAAAAGGTTTTTCTCATAACACTCGAACTGGATGGCTTTCAAAGATTAGAAAATTCATACACGATAGGGCTGCCATTGGCTACTAGCTTTGATGGCCATACTCTGCCCCCTCAGAGGCTTTAATGCTTCTGAATATCAGTTGCTGGAAACAGCGGGAGGGGAGAATTTGCAGGTTTTCCATGGGCATCTTGGTTGGCCACTGTGAGAACAGTATGCTGGACTAGAGGGGGCTTTGGCCATTCTTATGCATGAGGTTTCCCATCCCAGGTATAGGAAACGTTCAGCTAAATGGACCACTGGAGTCTGACTGTGTAAGGCAGCTTACAAAGTGCTGATTTCTAGCCCCAGGATCACTAATTGGCTATCCCTGTTTGACAGTAACATGATGCCACAAGTGCATACATTTTAAGATAAATCAGTCTCTCAAGATTCGACAAGGGAAGTGTTGTTGGCTTTTATGGCTTAATTTCACCATCTCAGCAAAGCCTCTTCAACTGCATTTCAAAGGACTTAATTTTATTCAGATCCTCCCAAGTTGCTGCCTCTCTCCCTCCCTCCCTCACGCCCCATGCCCCCACTCCTTCTCAGCAGGCCTCCCCTCCTGAGCACAGTCACATGTAATGGTCTTTAAACGAACACACTTGCTAACTGGCAGGAATTCAGGTTTGGCTGTTCATTTGTTTTTAAATGTTGGTTCCAGCGATTCAGCTTGGGAGTTTTGGTTATTTCTCTCTCCCCCCCCCCTCACACCCCAATCCCAAATGACTGGAGAAATTCGTCTTGATTATAATTGCTCTTACCCACGCATATCTAATTTGTATCTTTTTAAGTGTTAATTAGTAAACAGTTTGAGCTGACATCTTTATGCGTTTGCATCTGTGAAAAATAGCGCTTATTGCTGCCTTAGCTGCGGGCCCTTGCTGCTCACTGCAACATTGCGACATTGACATAAAATTAATGAAGACATGGGTGCCAATTTTTTTTTGAGCTGCCTTTAGGAAGATCTCCTCCTTGGCGAGACTCTCCTTCATGCCATTTAATTTATTTATTTTTTTAAGGAGAGGGAGATGTGTACTCATACATCACTTTCCATGCAACATCTTTGCTAAGCAGGCGTCCGTATTAATTTTCCAAGAACGTGGTGCACATTTCCCAGTTACCTAGGTAGCAATCAAACTTGCAACCGGGATAATGCCAAAATGTATTCTCCTTTCTTTAAAACTTTCCCCAGCCATTAACTTTCGAGATAACCAGGTGTTGATAATAAAACAATGCAAAAAAAAGCAAAAAAAACCTCTGCTCTCTTATAGTCACACAGTGTCATCTAGTGGTGGCATTAAATATTGCATTGGGAGGGAATGTACTTGTTCATTGCATTTATATTATTACTTTTTCTTCAAGGAGGCATACATTTAATCCCCACAACAACCATGTGAAGCAGGTGAGGCTGAGATGCAGCGACTGGCCCAAGGCCACCCAGCAAGCTTCATGGCCAAGTGGTGATACAAACTCAGATCTCCCAAGTCCTAGTCTGACACTCTAACTACTACAGTGGTACCTCGGGTTAAGTACTTAATTTGTTCCAGAGGTCCGTTCTTTTTTTTAAAAAAAAATAATTTTTATTAATTTTCCAAACATGTAATAAAAACAAACAGTAAAACAAAACAAAACGTACAAACAAATAAACATGTATAATTTCATAAACTCATTTTCCTTCACCTTATTTCCCGGACTTCCCCATACCTCCCTTTTTCTGCATCCTTATTTTTCCTTTTAACAGCAACCCTCCATTTAATTAATTAACTCATCTTCTTTATAATTCCCTTAAATTTATGATTTACAGCTGCAATTCTCTGTTTCTTAACACCATAACATCTCAGCACTCCTCAATGTTACAACAATTTTTAAGGTATGTTTTAAATTTCTTCCAATCTTCTTCCACTGTCTCGCTCCCCTGGTCACGGATTCTGCCGGTCATCTCTGCCATTCCCATGTAGTCAATCACCTTCGCTTGCCATTCTTCCAGAGTGGGTAGCTGCTGCGTCTTCCAATACTTTGCCAGAAGAATTCTTGCTGCTGTGGTAGCATACATAAAAAAAGTTCTGTCCTTCCTTGGCACCAATTGGCCCACCATGCCCAGGAGAAAAGCCTCTGGTTTTTTAGAAAATGTCCATTTAAGGACCTTTTTAATTTCATTATAGATCATTTCCCAGTAGGCTTTAATCTTCGGGCAGGTCCACCAAAGGTGATAGAAAGTACCTTCAGTCTCATTACATTTCCAACATTTATTATTGGGCCAATGATAAATTTTTGCAAGTTTGACTGGGGTCATGTACCACCTGTAGATCATTTTCATTATGTTTTCTCTCAAAGCATTACAAGCCGTAAATCTAACACCAGTATTCCATAACCTTTCCCAGTCATCAAACATAATGTCATGACCTATGTCTTGTGCCCATTTGATCATAGCTGATTTTACTGTTTCATCTTGTGTATTCCATTTCAGCAGCAAATTATACATTCTTGACAAGTTCTTAGTATTGGGTTCTAACAATTCTGTTTCTAATTTCGACCTCTCCATCTGAAAACCTATTTTCCTGTCCTGTTTAAATACCTCGTTTATCTGAAGGTAGTGCAACCAATCTCGTACTTTAGACTTTAATTTGTCATAACTCTGTAATTTAACCCTTTCACCATCTTGCTCTAAGATTTCGCAATATTTTGGCCATTTGGACTCCATATTAAGTTTTTTTGTCTCTTAGCTTCCATTGGTGATAGCCACCTGGGAGTTTTACTTTCCAGTAGATCTTTATATCTTATCCAAACATTGTATAGTGCTTTCCTAACAATATGGTTTTTAAAACCTTTATGTATTTTTACCTTGTCGTACCATATATATGCATGCCAACCAAATCTGTTGTCGTACCCTTCCAGATCCAAAATGTCTGTGTTCTCAAGAAGTAGCCATTGTTTCAGCCAGCAAAATGCTGCCGATTCATAATAAAGTCTCAAGTCCGGCAGGGCAAACCCCCCTCTATCTTTTGCATCAGTTAAGATCTTAAAGTTTATTCTGGGCTTTTTGCCCTGCAAGACAAATTTTGATATGTCTTTTTGCCACCTCTTGAAACAGTCCATTTTGTCCAGGATCTGGAGTGTCTGGAATAAAGACAACATTCTAGGCAATACATTCATCTTGATGACAGCAATTCGGCCTAACAAGGAAAGTCTCAACCTTGACCATATTTCTAGATCTTTCTTCACCTCTGTCCAACATTTGTCATAATTGTCTTTAAATAAATTCACATTTTTAGAAGTCAAGTTCACACCCAGGTACTTCACCTTTTTTGTTATTACTAAACCTGTTTCATTCTGAAACTTCTCTTTTTCTGCCATTGTTAGATTTTTCTCCAACACTTTAGTTTTTTGCTTGTTCAGTTTAAATCCTGCTACTTGACCAAATATCTCAATTAGTTCTAATACTCTTTTGGTACTAGTATCTGGCTGTTGCAAAGTCAATACTAGGTCATCTGCAAATGCCCTTAGTTTGTAATTTCTGGCTCCGACCTGAACTCCTTTAACCAATTGGTCCCCTCTAATCATGTTTAACAAAACCTCCAGGACTGTTATAAAAAGTAAAGGGGATATTGGGCATCCCTGTCGTGTGCCTTTTTCTATAGGTATTTCTTCCGTAACCACATTGTTCACAATCAACTTTGCTTTTTGCTTCAAATATATAGCACCTATACCGTTTTCAAAACCTTGGCCTACCCCCATCCCTTGGAGATTCTTCTTCATAAAGGTCCAACAAATATTATCAAAGGCTTTCTCCGCATCCACAAAAATCAGAACCGCCTTTCTGTTAATGTTCACCTCCAGCAGTTCCAAAATGTCTATAATGTTCCTCACATTGTCCGACATATGTCTCCCTGGAAGAAAGCCTGTTTGGTCCTTGTGAATCTCCCCTATCAGCACTCTCTTCAGTCTT